GATTTTTTTTTTTTTTTTTTGGTAGTTAAATTCAAATTTGCAACTTTGGATAATCAGTATTCACCAGTAAGCCACTATTTATGGGCAACAGAAGCAAAGAAATCGTCTTGAAAAAAATTTCTTCTTCAAAAGAAATACATACAGTTTACTTGAGGGTGAGTTTGATAATACCTTTCCTTCTAATAAAGATAAACCACTAAGATTGCCTGGAGCAGCTGTTCAAATCCCAAACAGGGCTCCGTTTCTCTCTAGGACAACGTCGGTTAAAACAATTAAATCACTTAAGCACCCTCACTGTATTCATCTTAATCTGAGAATGAGAGAATCAGAGAAGAGTGAAGAATTCTTCAACAGGAACGAGAACACGAGTAAGACAAGTATAATGATTAGTATAAATAGTGATTTCTAGGTCCTCTCCTACATCCTCTCAATACATCCATTAACGCTTTGGGAAAGTAACAACTTGAGGTCTGAGCTGGGGACACAATGTGGCTGATACATTTCTGGCCCCAGTTAACGCAGACCATTACAATGTCTGGCCTCAGGAAAAGGACACAGCAACAATCTACAAAACAACTCTCAGTGATTTGAATCATCGTATCTGCCTCTAAACACTTGGATGCTGCTGTTAATTGGGAGATACAAGAAGCTTACGCCATAAATAAGGGGTCCACTTTTGAGCAGTTACCAAATGTCTTTATTTAAAGTCTCTCCTTTTAAAGAACATCTTTTAATTAGTTTTTCTGGGGAAAAAATATGCTTGTGGGTCAAAAACGCGAGGAAATATAAAATCTGCATCTACTTACAAGGGTCCTCACGACAAACATGTTGAGATTCCTCACGCGATGATTTATTTGTCTGCTTAGGTGATTTTGCTCCTGAAATGACTTCTCACCATTGTGGAGGGAAGAGGTGTGTTCCCATGTGGCCACGCGTGGTTTTAAGAATGACAGTGCCATAAGGGCACCTGATGGCTCGGGGGCTTAGGCATCTGACCAGCTCAGGTCATGATCTCTTGGTCCGCGGGTTCGAGCCCGCGTCGGGCTCTTGTGCTGACAGCTCAGAGCCTGGAGCCTCCTTTGGAATCTGCGTCTCCCTCTCTCTCTGCCCCTCCCCTGCTCACCCTCTGTCTCTGTCTCTCTCAAAAATAAACAAACATTAAAAAAATGTTTTTACATGACAGTGCCATAAAAGAAGATACATCATTTTTCTATCCAACTTCTTGATAGATACTTGCTACTGGTTAATTAATTTCCAGGTATTTTTGAGACGTTATCAGAGAAACAGCATTCTTACTATGACTTAAGACCACAAATTAGGATCTTTTTTTATGTTGAAAAAAAAATTTTTTTTTTTGAGAGGGAGAGAGAGAGAAAGTGTATGAGCGCACACGCAAGCGGTGGGGAGGGTCAGAGGGAGAGAGGGAGAATCTTAAGCAGGCTCCGCTGGTTCAGGGTTCCATCTCTTGACCCTTAGATCATGACCTAAACCGAAATCAAGAGTTGGACGCTTAACTGAGTCACCCAGGCGCCCCAGGATCTTAATAATAAGAGTGCTTCACACACTCAAGATTCTCTCCTCCCCTTGTCTGTTAAATCTTTGCATTGCATTTTCCCTAACAAATGTTGCCAGCAAGAAACGCATTACAATTTAAGTAACGAGAGGAGCTCTCCTCTTGGTCCTGAGATGTACGAACCTGGTACACTGGAGCCACAGGGCGGAAGGAAAGGGAGGGTGGGAGAGGCGGGGTGCCCTCATTTGGTGCCCGCCCACAGTCTGTGCTGCGCTCTTGTCCCACGGGTGCTCCAAGGAGACGGTGCTCACAGAGAAAAGAGCTGAGGCCTTCAGGTTGGCCATATATAGGTTTAAATCCCAGCTGGGGGACCTCAGACTCTGTCTTTAGCATCCAGGAGCCTCATTTTCCTCCTTTGTGAAGTGGGGATAATGCTACTCACCTTGAAAGACTCACCAAGATTATGAGGTAGGTAGGTGTTATGTATGAATCACCTACCACGGGGCTGGCGGTATGAGAATCTAGAAAAGGCACATGTGGGCATAATGGGACCACAGCTTTTGCTTCCTGGACTTGAGTCATCGCTTCCATCCAGAGCACAGCTATTTTCACCGTGGCCCACACCCTGCCATCTATTTTTTTCCTCTGTTCAGTGGGCTCGGCGCCCAGTCCGAAGACGGAGGAAACGCAAGAGGAGTGTTACTACTTGCCATTCATCTTGTCTTGCACGTCGCCTCCCTGCGTCCCATGTTTTGGAGAGCCGGAAATATTTCATTATTCCTGGCCATCATCACCAAGAACCTGAGGGGAGAAAAACTACACCTCCCCCTCACAGAACTAAGTGACTTTTTTCTGTCCCCTAAAACCCACCGCAGAGAAAAAGGAAACTGATTCGGGTGTTGCTGTGTTTTTGGTTCGACATTCTCTCATATTTTTTTAATTTTTTTTTGGCTTATTTTTGAGACAGAGAGAGACAGAGTGTGAGTAGAGGAGGGGCAGAGAGAGAGAGAGAGAGAGAGAGAGAGAGAGAATCTGAAGTAGGCTCCAGGCTCTGAACTGTCAGCCCAGAGCCCCATGAAGGGCTCGAACCCACGAACTGTGAGATCATGTCCTGAGCCGAAGTCGTTATTAAAGGAGAAGAGCACTACATTTCTTAAGAGTTATTGTGATGACAAAATGCATGCTTATAAAGCACCTTAGTTACAGTTTGGCTCGTAAAACGTGGTATGGTAGATGTGGCAAATTATGTTGTATCACTAGACAAAGTTCTCTACCAGGACATCCCCAAATTTCCAATGAACATGCCTGCGACACCTTAGAGAGACTAAATAGTCTAAATAGCTGAGATGCTATGATTTTTTTTCCTCCTCTCTCTACTCAGCTGACCCCCAGGAAGGAGACGTATGCAGTACCAATGACTGGAGTTTGATGTTTGCCATAGTCATCTGAAGGGCACTGAGAACAAGAGACCAGATGGATGACCAAGTCCCCTCCCCACCTTACTGGGCCCCTCCCCATTATGACAGGTCCCTCCCTGCTCTGCCGGGCCCCTCCCCACTCTGCTGGGCCCCCTCCCCATTATGACAAGCTCCTCCCTGCTCTGCCGGGCCCCTCCCCATTATGGCAAGCCCCGCCCCATACTCCCAGGCCCCTCCCCCAATGGCAAGCCCCGCCCCACACTGCTGGGCCCCTCCTTCTATGACAAGCCCCACCCCACTACGACAAGCCCCGCCCTGCCGGGTCCCTCCCCATGACAAGCCCCGCCCCACACTGCCGGTCCCTCCCCCTATGACAAGCCCCGCCCCGCCCTGCCCTGCCGGGCCCGTCCCCGCTCTGAGGAGGCTGGGGGAGATGCACTCTGGCCTTCCCGTGGCCCTCTCCAGCATCCTCCCGACGTCCAAAGGGAGAAGAGCGCAGGCGCGGTCTCCCGCGCGCACCCTTGTTTCAGGGGCTTAGGCCTGGACACCCGGCTACACACCGGCGCGCCTGCGCAGATCCACGCTGGCGGCCGCCGCGCACCCACCTTCGCAGCAGTCCTGCCACACGCGCAGATCCACCTGCGGTATCTCGCTGCAGCTCAGGTAGTCCTGCGGGTACTGCGCCTTCACGAACACGTCGGCCTGCACCTGCTGGATGTTGTCGCCGTTGTCGCAGAGCACGCGGCCCAGGGACGCCTGCCTCAGCTGAGTGAGCTGCGCGGGGGTGAACACTCCGGGGTTCTCATACCAGAACCTGGTGGCCAGCAGGGAGAGGCGTGCAGTGAGGCTCCCAGAAGGGCCCTGAGCTGCGGGCCCAGCGGCGACAGCGCAGCGGCAGAGCTCCCTGGGAGCAAAGATACGGAAAGGATTGTCTGCTCTCCAACCAAGCACGCTTTCAACTGCCTCCAGTGTTGATAAAGTCCTTAAATCCCCTGCTTTGAACGATCGCTTTCTATTCACGTTTTACAAAACGATTCAATAAGGCTTTGCAAAGTTAAAAGATAAATAAAGAAAAGCACGTCTTCTAATCTAAAATTCCATAAGCTAGCCTTAGAAATTACCTGAACAATTTTAAGACTGACATGTTTGCCTAAATGAGAAATAGTGCTTTTTAATCATTAATACATACTAGTTGATTATATCTATTAGCTAATTAGAATAAACACACTCGATTTTCAATTAAAAAACAAATACAGTTTAAAAACACTATTAAAGTGAGCCCTTGTTCATTCCTTCAGGGAATATTTCCAAGCACTTTTCTCAAGCCAGGCACCCAACAGAAGAGAGGAAGCCAAAGGCCGTCACCATTCACATGGTATATGGGCTGACTTGTGTCCCCTCGAAATTCACATTCGTTGAAATCCTAGCCCCCAGTATTTCAGAATGTGACTTTATTTGCAGACAGGGCCATTAAAGAGGCGGTTAAGTAAAAATAAGGTCATTAGGGTGTCATGGGGGGGAATTACGATTATAATCCATTATGACTAGTGTCCTTACAAGGAAAGGAAATACGGACACAGGCCGGTCCAGAAGGAAGACCTTGTCAAGACAAAGGGAGAAGTTGGCCATCTACAAGGCCACAGAGTCCTCAGTAGGGATCAACACCCCCCACCTTGATCCAGTCTCCAGAACTGCAAGACAATATATTCGTTATCTAAACCACCCAGTCTTTTGGACTTGGTTATGGTAGTCCTAGTAAATTAATACACATGGAGAAAACAGTTTATTCAAAAAAAACCACAAAGCTTTCCGAAATTTGCTTAGTTTTTGACCACATATATTCTTAAATTATTATCGATTGAACATATTAGCACAGCTATGTGCTGCAATAAATCCAGAGTGCCAAAAGTAATTTATAAACATTAAAATGAAATACTGTACTCTGAACGTTGGCCAATGTGCAATAAAGGAATTACATCTGTTACTACTTTCTTTATAATATAATTCATAAATAGAAGAGACTGGGAAGAAAAATTTTAAATAAAGAATAATTTGGGGGATGCCTGGCTATGTCAGTCAGTTGAGCTCGACTTTGGCTCAGGTCACCATCTCACAGTTTCATGAGCGCTGACAGTGTAGAGCCTGCTTGAAAGTCTCCCTCTCTCTCTGTCCCTCCCCCACTAGCATTCTGCATCTTTCTCAAATTAAATAAACTTTTTTTAAAAAATTAAAAAAATAGTTTTTAGTGTAACTTTAATTAAAAACTAAGTTTTAGGGGAGCCTGGGTGGCTCAGTCGGTTAAGTGTCCGACTTCGGCTCAGGTCATGATCTCACAGTCTGTGAGTTCGAGCCCCGCGTCGGGCTCTGTGCTGACAGCTCAGAGCCTGGAGCCTGCTTTGGATTCTGTGTCTCCCCCTCTCTCTGACCCTCCCCCGTTCATGCTCTGTCTCTCTCTGTCTCAAAAATAAATAAACACTGAAAAAAAAATAAAAAAAAAAAACTAAGTTTTAGGCAGTGTTTAAGTCCTTCATATAAATATATAATCGCTGTGATAATACAGAACGTTGAACTGTCGAACAGGTTCACAAGAATCCTAGCCCTTACTCAAGACTGTACTAACGATCCAGAAGATACAGCGAGGGCCCCGGAACACAGTTGGTTTAAGTAACAAAGGAGAGCTAATAGTGTGTCCCATGCCAACTCGGCGGGGGCTGCTTTGTTTTTCAGTTTTCTTCGTTTTTATCCCTGGCTAGCCTTGCAACAAAGAGATTACACTAACTTCCGTCTCCTGCCAGCTGTCATAATTTCATAAACTCAAGTTGATCCACAGTAGATACTTCAGACAAACCAAGAGATTTTTAGGAAGAAGCCCCATTTATTCTTCCACTAGTAAGTGCCCTCAGCACACAGTTCTGCGAGGAGGTCTGGTCTTGGGTCAACCGGTCTCCCAAGAGGATGAAGGGATGGGGCCTCAAGCCCGCTGTGAACTCCTGCACCACCAACATCATTTACACTTGCCACAATCTATGCACCCGGGGTACTACCGTTCGATGGACTGTATGTACATATGAGGCAACAGGTTTCAGGTGATACGCTGTGCACGTCATAGTCCAGGGCATTCTTTAAAATGTTTTTTTAACATTTATACATTTTTTGAGAGACAGAGAGAGACGGAGCATGAGCGGGGAAGGGGCAGAGAGAGAGAGAGGAACACAGAATCCAAAGCAGGCTCCAGGCTCTAAGCTGTCAGCACAGAGCCCGACGCGGGGCTCGAACTCACGGACCGTGAGATCATGATCTGAGCCAAAGTCGGACGCTTAACCGACTGAGCCACCCAGGCGCCTCTGGTGCATTCTTTTAACTACTGACTTCTATGCCCTTCCTAGTCAGTCTATTTCTTCCTTCCTTACAAAGATTTACAAGAACTTATAAAAATGAATGCCATCTGGTATTATCAGTGGTCGGAAAAATTCTGTGACCAGATGCCATTTGTTATTTCTCATATTCAATATATTTTAAACCATAGGAAGTACAGACTCATACTTATAATGCATGATTTGGGAGAAAAACCCAATTTTGTTATCTTCGAGAAGTATAACATAATTCTTCACCTATCTCCATCTCTTAGCCGCTGAAACTGGGTAACAAACAGGCACATAAGTGTTGGTCCCACTCTCGTACCAGGGATCAGGTCTTCAACCATGAGGGCGGGCCAGAGGTCAATGTTGCCTGGAGAGCCGTACAACCTGAAACCAAGCAGACAGACATCACACGCTGGACTGGCAAAGTGACACTCACAGTATTATTTATACTAAGGACTGCAAAGCAATTTTTGCATTTTATATACACTAAAAACAAAGGCAGAGATGATTTTTATTCTCATTTCACAGGCAACAACGTTGAGATGACGGAAGAATTCAGGGATCACCCAGTTGGCCAGGAACAGAGCAGTGGCCCAATTAAGAGCATTTAACACCATTCATGTAAGATGTACTGCATTCTTCTTTCTAATTATCCTGTAAGTATATGGAATATAACTCTGTGTGTGTGTGTGTGTGTGTGTGTGTGTGTGTGTGTGTTTGCAGATCTATATCCAACTAATTCTTCTAGAAACATGTAGCAAATACACTAAGCATTAAAAAATTTCCATGTCAGTGTATTTGATAGTTATGCTAAACAGAGTGAAAAAATAGTTTGTGGAAATAATTTACTGTGTTAGATAAATTTCTTTCTTGCTAAAAAGATAATGATCCTTAGGGGCGCCTGGGTGGCTCAGTCGGTTGGGCGTCCGACTTCGGCCCAGGTCATGATCCCGTGCTTTGTGGGTTCGAGCCCCGCATCGGGCTCTGTGCTGACAGCTCGGAGCCCGGAGCCTGCTTCTGATTCCGTGTCTCCCTCTCTCTCTGTCCCTCCCCCCACTCCATCTCTCTGTCTCCCAAAAAATACATTAAAAAAAAATCAAAATAAAAAGATAATGATCCTTAGATTTGGGATTTGAAGTGATTTTTAAAATTTAAAAACTATCATAATGCTAATGATAATTTAAGCCAAACAGCTTTGGACACACCATCCACTTAAAGAAAGAAAACATGACCAGTACTCATGAGACTCCATGTGAGAGCTGCTGAGACCGTCTTTCCCTGTCTCCTAAACATGGGAACAACTTGACCTGTCCTTAACACTTTATTTCATGCGTACGATTCCATGGACTCCACATACTTTAGCTTCATATGCTTTAACCTTGGCACAAATGGAAACAGAATGTTCATACTTCTTTTCACAGCACAGTTTATTTGGAGATTCATCCTGTTGCTGTACCCCCCTGCAGCTAGTTCTTTTTCTCAGCCCTAGAGTAGCCCCTTGGATACTCTTCCGATTTAGTCATCCATTCTACTGGTGATGAATATTTGTGGTTTGCAACATTTTACTGTGAACACTCTCACCCATGTTTCTTCATACGGACAGAGGTCTCTCTAGACTAGGAAATTTTTATGACAAAGGATACGATAGCAAATATTTTCAGTGTGTGTGTGCCACATTTTGCCATTAGTCAACTCTTCCCTTTTTCACCAGAGCAGCCAAAGATAGCATATAAAAAAATGGACGCGGTTGTGTTCCAATAAACCTTTCTTTACAAAAGCAGGCGGTGGGTGAGATTTGGCCAATGGGCTGTGGTTTGCGGATCCCTGCTCTAGAACATGCCAACACTAACTTTTAATTTTAATAGATGCACACACTTTTAATTTTAATAGATAATGCCAAACTGCCTAAAATATATGTACAGTTCATACGCTCATAATAAGCATATAGAAGTTGTATGTGATACATATCCACGTGCGTATCTTCAACTTTAATAGGTAGTGCCCTTGGCACATTGAATTTCTTCAATATTTTTTTTGAGTTTAGTTCAGTGTCATTGCTGCGACCCTTCTTACTCCTTCTCGTACCTCCTCCTCCTTCCCCCTCCCCCTGATCTTCTCCTTCTCCTGCATCTTTTTTCTTACTTTCTGATGATAGCTGGGCTTTTATATCTCCAAGTACTTGTCTGAGTGTTTCAGTGCTTGTTTAAATCAGATTCAAGTGTTGCGTTATAGATTCCTTCTGTTTCCATTTTTTCCCCCTGGGATAATTTTTCTCTGTAATGTATTGATTTGCATTTCTGTTTTCTTGCTCCGTAGCTTTATTTGAAAGAAGTCCCCCGCCCCCTCTTCTCCCAGGCATTTCATGAAGTGGATTTCCAGTTGGGCAGCATACCGTTCTGTCACTGCCGTGCAGTCGTGCAATCGTTGATTGCAGTGTTGGTGGCAACAGGGGAGAGCAGGCACTGGCACGCTTTATTTCTCTTTCATTCCTTAGGCATTCTTCATTTCACTTCATTCTACTTTAGCTTCCTGTCGGATATGAAGGGGCACTGTCCCCTCTCTCCTTATCTCCTTCGGTCCCTAAAAATGGTTATCTCTGGTTACTTTCGGCCCTGGGATTGGTGTAGACACCAGAGCTGTATTTGGAGCCATATTCGGTGATGTAGACTTAGCACTTACTGTCGGACTTTGTCCTTCTAGAGAGATTTCTTTTTTCCTGTAGTTCATCTATGCCGATTCCCTTTCGTTGGTCCACAGAGATTTTTGAATGCTCCATCCTTCTCTCCACACCCACACTTGCATGGAGGTGGAGCTCCAGTGGAAGTTCTGTTGGAAGCTGGGGATTATTTTCAAACTTGAAGCAATTTGAAATTGATGCCATTGTTGTCTCCTACGAATTCTGAATGTATAAGTCATGTGTTTTTGGATGTGTCTTCTTTGTAGTCTCGTAGTTTTGTAGGAGGCCACGTTAAGAGATGCCTAATCAAAGAATCAAATGACCATTGTTTTTCTAAGGCTAACTTGACAATATGTCTCCTTTGTAGAATTTGTGCTCATCTGATGGGGGTGAATAGGTGTTTCACTAGGATTTTCATTATCTTGATTATTTCGTTGGGCATCTGCTACGTATTGACTGAGCTTTTTTTTTTTTTTTTTTTTTTTTTTTTTTTTTTACATAAAATGCCTATTTACACTATGCCTTTTTCCCATCTTCCTATTGGGTGGTGTTTGTCTTTCTCACTTTAGGAGTTCTGTATATATTCTGGATGCTAATGCATGGTTATCTATGTTCAAATGTATTCCTCCAAATTTGGGACCTTTTTTATTAATCCCTCTCATTATGTTAGACTTTGATGAAAGTATTTTTTTGAATTTAAGGTCAATTTTCTCAATTTTTTGTAGGTGGCATTTTTTTTAATTTTACTTAAAAAAACATTTTCTTCCCCAATGCCATAAAGATATTCTGACTTTTTTTTTTTTAAGTTTTAAACTTCTGCCTCTCAGAGGTAAGCCCTTCATCTATTTGGAATTGATTTTCATATGTCATGTGAGATAGGAATCCATAATCATTTTTACCCATGGATAGCCAATTTTTACTGCACCACTTACTGAGAATGTTCTCATTTCTCACTAATTTGCCCGGCAGTACTTTCAAATATCATGGTTCCACGTGTAAGCACATTTCTTTGTGTGGCTTTCTATTCTATCAGTCTTTCTGTCTATTCGTGAATCAATATCACACTATGTTAATTACTAAAAGCTGTGTAATAAGTGTTGCTAACTGGAACATCAAATCACTCAGTTAGATCCTTCTTGGCCATTTTCTCTACGAAGTTCATTTTAAAATCAGCTTGTGGATGCCACAACAAAAAACTATTAAGATCTTAATTGGAATTACAATAAATACATCATTTTAGGAGAATACTGACACATTTGAATTATTGAATATTGCTTCTCCTGAATGAGATACATGACTCTATTTCTTACGTGTTCTCTAGAAACAATACGATTTTCTTTCCTAACGTATTGCACAACTTTCGTTAGTCTTTTCTCCTCATTTGGTATCGCAATTTGACTTTTCCTATATTCCTTATATGTAGAGAACTTGCAAAAAATAATTATGACAGTTTTATTTTATCCTTTCCAGTAGTTACCTCTTTATTATTTTATTGTCTTCACTATGGTTTCCATACAACTTTGAATATTAACCATGGTAGCTGGCATACTTGTCTTATTCGTGTGTTCCAATGAAATGTTTCTGGGGCTCCCGGGTGGCTCAGGCGGTTACGCCTCCCATTCTTGCTTTCCGCTCAGGTCATGATCTAACAATCAAGAGATGGCAGAACCTGAGTGGGGCACGGAGCCTGCTTAAGAGTCTCTGTCTCTCTCTCTCCCCCTTCCCCTCCCCTGTTCTCTTGCACTCTCTTCCTCTCTCTCTCAAAGAAAAAAAAAGTCTGTGAATTGTTAAGAGCTCATAAAAGAAAAGGTAGTTTGAGGTTTTAGAAATTAGAACATTGAACTTTCTCATAGAGTGTAACCGTGGCTTTGCTAATGTCAGTCCTTTGATATGGATTTGTTTTTCACCTTTTTTAAAAAACAAATTTTTTTAACGTTTATTTATTTTTGAGACAGAGAGAGACAGAGCATGAACGGGAGAGGGGCAGAGAGAGAGGGAGACACAGAATCGGAAGCAGGCTCCAGGCTCTGAGCCATCAACCCAGAGCCCGAGGCGGGGCTCGAACTCACGGACCGCCAGATCGTGACCTGAGCTGAAGTCGGAGGCTTAACCGACTGAGCCACCCAGGCGCCCCTGTTTTTCACCTTTTAACCAATCCACTCCTATCCGTATTGTAACTTACTGCTTTTATTGTGGCTCACTGCATAGCTCCAGGAAACACTATGAGCCTTTTAAAGACACTTAGTATTAGAGGGAGGTCTGAAATCAGTAAGTTCTCCAAACCCATTCATCTGCATTACTCAGGAGAATGTCAGCTCTAGTTTTTTAATTTTTAAAATTCTAGGCCTCATATTTCTTCTTTCTTGGTTATAATTAGTCCCTAGTAAGACTATAAACCAGCTTCTATGTTTAATTTCTTTGGTATATCAATTCACTTTTTTTTTTTCAACGTTTATTTATTTTTGGGACAGAGAGAGACAGAGCATGAATGGGGGAGGGGCAGAGAGAGAGGGAGACACAGAATCGGAAACAGGCTCCAGGCTCTGAGCCATCAGCCCAGAGCCTGACGCGGGGCTCGAACTCCCGGATCGCGAGATCGTGACCTGGCTGAAGTCGGACGCTTAACCGACTGTGCCACCCAGGCGCCCCAATTCACTTTTTTTTTTTTTAATGTTTTAATGTTTTATTTTTTGAGAGACAGAGAGTG